TCAACCATTTACCAATTGATGGGCGTTACCTTGGTTTCTAGTTCTTTGCCACCGTTAAAAAAATGCTGTAAATACTTTTGTACATGGGAGTGCTTTTTCACTTTCTTTGACCTCTTTGGAATATAGGCATAGCAGTGGTATTGCTGGGTCAAAGGGTATGAACAGTTTAGGAATTTTTTGACATAGTAACAAATTACTTTCCTGAACCAAATCACAGCTCCACCAAAAGAGTATAATGTGCCTGTCTTTCCCAGGCGCCTCCAGCGTTTGTCATTTTCCTTTTTTGTCAACTTTGACAATCTGATGGATCTACAGAAACTTAGATTTGCTTTAATTCGCATTTCTTGAATTATTAGTGATATAGACTTTTTTTTACATATGGCTTTTGCTACTTGGCATAAAAGCTTTTGATAAAGTTTGTTGTGTTAGCCTTATGAATAAGATGGTAAAAGGTAAGCTAGATTTCATTTCAAAAAGCATTTGTTAGCACTCCAGTACAGCTGGAGATACAAAACCAAAACCAAAATAGACTCTGCCCTCAAGGAACTCACATTCTTCTGGGGAAATCATTAGATGTCGATATAGCCTGAAAGGCTTCTTAGTGGAGTGCCTTAGAACTCAGTTCTTGCCTTGTTGTTTACAACTTTTTTTTAATCAATGTCTTGGATGAAGACATAAAAGGTATGGTTATCAAAACTGCAGAGGAAAGAATGCTGAGAGAAACAGTTATGATAGACAGAAAAATAAAGTGTTTTTAAAAAGTAAAAATTTTGAATGGCTGTTATATACCAGAGAATTTATTTTTGTTCATCATTATTCCAGCAGGAGGGCCAGGACAAATGGATGGAAGTTTTCAGAATATGGAGACAGTTTTCAAAATAATCAATTAGAGTTGCCCCAAAGTGGAAGAGAATGACACTATGACAGTGAGTACCCCATCACTGAAAGTATTCAAGCTGAGGCTATATGACCTTTTGTCAGAGACGCCGCAGAAGAAATTCCTGCATTGGTTTGAGAGATTGTATTAGGGGACCTCTAAAAGTCTCTACCAATTCTGAGATTTATTATTCTAAGGGGAGAAGTGGCATATGTATCCCCAGGACTGCCACTAAACTCCTTTGTGACCTTAGAAAAATTTGTTTACCTCTCTTGACCTCAATTTTCTAATTTGTAAAATGACACAGTGGATTAAAATATAATCTCTTTGTGCATGGAATTGGGCCTGAGAATAGGCTATTTATTAAATATATCTGCTTTCTAAAGGGCTGGATGAAGCTTTCCAAAGTGGAAGACATTTATTTAGAACTATTCAAAACAGAAATGTCAACACCCTTTCAAAGAGGCCTGTTAGTGATGCAAATGTGGACTTATCTGGATTTGTGATAATCTTAATAAACAAAAGAGTGAAACCATTAGAAGTTACTAGTGGCACCACTGTCAGGCTTTGAGACTTTGTCTTTGTGATTTACAAAGGCAGAAAAACATAGTAAAGCTGCTTCTCATTTTGACTATGTTATGTTTGACCTACTAACATTAGAATGCTAATCATGCTAATGATTTTTGAATAGCCTTAACCATTTTACTTTGGGCTAAGCAATGGCAAATTTGTAGTTTTTGCAAATAACCTATATAGTTTATACAGAAATACTTGCAAAATATTCCATTCCAAAACCCAGGCTTAAGACTTTTCTTAATAAAGCAGGAGTCAATATAAATTTATTGAAGTACCAGTAATAACATTATTATGAGGTACCAGTATAAGATATCCCCCAAATAGTATAACAAATTAAGCTGCTATACTATTGATGCTTTAAAGTACATAATTGAAAACTAGCAATAGCAAAGTTTTATTTAACATGACATTTACATACTCCCTTTCCCATCCCACATACTAAAATCTGAAAGGTTAACTCTTTCAAATAGCAGAAGAGGCTTTCATTTGGAGACTAATTTGGAACAGAGACTCTTTGGGATATTCAGTGCAAATAATAATGTGGTGGCATTATGGCTTGGGTATGGAGGGTAATGCATTTTTTCCATTGGAAGGGGCCTTAGGGAATCATTTTATCCAATCTTGTCATTTTACAAATAAGGAAAGTGAGGCTCAGACAGGTGAAGCTATGCTACTTGCCCAGTGGTGGAAAGGACATTTGATTTGTAGTAAGAGAATTTGGGTTCTAACCATCACCCTAGCCTTACAATGAGATGAGATAAAATATCTTAAGCACTTGAAAACCTTAAAGGGATAGCTCTTTATATATGTAATTATATACATTACTTTTTTGTGAATATATAGAGAGACAGAGAGACAGAGACAGAGACAGAGAGACAGAGACAGTATGTGTCAGCTTTTTAAATTTGATTTAGTAACACACACTCTGGGTGTCAGTTTCCTCATATGTAAAGTGAGTAGCATTGGACTAGCACTTAAATGATTTCTACATTTCTTTTCAGATGTAATTCTATGATATGACTTCTTTGGGTTTCACACCAAGCTTTCCGTACCTCAGACAAGGAGGAAGTAGCAAAGCCAGAATGCAAATACGGGTTCTCTGACTGTGCTCTTTTGACTACACCAAGTTATTATGTATAATTTTGGCCAGAACTGAAGGTTTGGAAAATGTAAGGGAAAAGAGGCAGGCTGCTTGACTTATTTTGTTATGCTTCTATTTTAGCCTATTAAAAAAGTTTAAGAGGTTGATTTAGAGATTAAAAAGTCTGATGTTGAAGGATTCTAGAAAGGTGTTCCAAAAGCAAAAGTATTGCTCGGGGGCAATCCATGGCAGGCAGCTTATGGATCAAAGCAGCCAAAAATGACCAATGAGACAGACAGTTCATTGGGAGTTGAAAATTAATATTACATCATCTACTCATTTTCTTAGGATCAGGTTTTTAACTACAGTTGGATAATCTATCACAACAGTTTAGTTTTTGGAATAATTGCCACACAGGAAATTTACACATGGCATGAAGCTAGGCTAAAAAAAAATCTGGGCTTAAATTTTTCCCAGATCATAGATTTAGGGCTGGAGGAGAATTTAGGCACCCTCTAGAACAACTACCCTCATTTTGTGCATGAAGAAACAGAGACCTAGAGAATTTAGTGGTGGCCTTAGAGTTGGGAAGAGCTGGGCTGGAAACCCTCTTCAGACCCTTTACTAGCTGGTAAGTCATTTAGCCTTTCCCATTCACCAGTTCCTCATAAATAAAATGGGGATAATTATAGTGCCTTCTCAGGATTGGTGTCAGGATCAAATGAGATCATATATGTGAATCATTTTAAAAACTTTAGAGTGTTACATTAATATTACTTACTATTAATGATTTGCTCAAGATAGTAAGTAGGAGAGCCAAGATTGAAACCCAACGCTGGATCCAAATTCAGGGTTTTTCCCCTTGCAACTTATCAGCATAATTTCATTATATAGAGTGGAATGGGTCATTTCCACGCCCCAGTAGCTGGATTTCCTCACCATCTCCTCTTCGCATTGTTAAAAGTGCCTTACTTCCTTAGTCCCATCATTTCACATTATCTTAGAGCCAGAATAGGCCTCAGAGGCTATCTATTCCAACCATATTTAACTAGTAATCATTCTACAACTTTCAGAGGTAATCATCATCCTGTCTCAGCAGATGAAGGAGGATTTCTTTCTTTCTTTTTTTTTTTTTGGTCAAATCAAGCCAAAATGTCCCTCCATGCAACATCAACCCGTTCCTCTAGTTCTGTATTCCCTCTTCTCATTTGTGACAGCCCTTAAATAGTACAGAGTTCTATGAGGGCCAGAAAATCAGGGCACCTCTCCAAATTCTCTGCCTCAGTTTTCCCCATCTTCTTTGCGGGGAGAGGTACTCTGGGTGAGCCAGAGTGTACCTACCTGTAATGAGTTTCAGAGTGGTAGACTTCAGTGCCCTCAGTTCGGTGGCAGCCAGACTAGCAGGGCACCCTAAGGCATGTATGGGGGATGGGGCAGCTTAGTTTTACTTTGCTCTGTTGAAGCACATGGTATGAAAACCTTGCAAAAACATGCACAGAGCTGTACTCTGATTCGTCCATCTGTAAATTCCCCTAAATTGTGTTTAATGAGGTGTTGGTGAAGCTAAAAAAATTTTAAACTATTTCAATATAAATTTTACTTTGTAATCCTATATATGTAATTTTATTCATTTACAAATTTATTTTGAGGAGGGCTTCATGGGCTTCACCAGCAAAGGGTCCATGGTGTCTTCCCTCTAAAGAGTTTAAAAATTCTCATAGGTTGAAAAGATTAAGAACCACCGCCCTGAAAGACTATGGTTGTCTTGCAAAGAAGGCTGTCGTAGCTACTGCCTCACTTACATACCAGGATGGCAAGTTACAGTAATATTGTTAAACCAGGTTGGCTGGGCCACCGGAGACAGACGAGTAGAAGATACTGCAGTCCTTGATGGAGCCAGCTTGAGAGGCCATTGTTAAATTCGTATATTTCAGTGTGTGCATTTACACCTCAGAAATCCGCAAACGTTACAACTCAGGGCTCAATTGTTTTGATTGTCTGGCAGATAAAGAAATGTTAAAAATGTAAGTTTAATAACTTAAAAAGCAGGTCTTGCGCACATTGCCCCGCCCCGATTGTTAAACATTCACCAGCACACCCTAGCTAGTCTCAATTCCCCCTCTTGCTCCTCGGATCCAGTTGGTCACAAGCATTTATTAAGCACCATACTATGTCAGCCCATAAGCATTTATCAAGTGTCTACGACGTGCCAGGAGCTAAGCGCTGGAGACATAAAGAAAAGCAAAAGCCAGTCCGTGCTCTAAGGGAGCTCACAGGCCTACTACGTGCTTATCAGCATAACTAGGTTGGTTCACTCTCGCTCCCCATAGGCACGAACCTCGGGCTAGTGCCTAGGGAAGGGTAGATGGTTAGGTTGCCCCTAACCAGGCATGGGAGGAGGAGGGAGAGGGGCGAGGGGGGAGGGAATGAGAGGAGGCCGTTGGAACGCGCAGGCGCGCGCGCTGATCAGGCTCGCGGATCGGGCTCGCTCACCACGGCAGCAGCGGCGGCTGCGCCGTAGCTCCTAGTTGGGAAAAGGGGGAGGAGGGAGGGAGGATGAGTCGGAGCCTTGGGAGGGGGGCCGGGGGAGGCGGAGGAGGAGGAGGAGGAGGGGAAGCGGAAGCCATGTTGGAGTTTCACCCGGGGCTCGGGGCTGCGAGCGTCCTTCTCTCCCTGCGGGGGTACTAGGCTTGAGGCGGGGCGGGGCCGGGCGGGGAGGGGAGGTTGCGGACGGTTGGCCGAGCTAGGCGGTGGGGTGAGAGCGGACAGCGCGGCGGCGGTGGCGGCGGGCCCCGCGTGGAGCCGGGGCGATTGTGACTGCCAGCCCCGGGAGCGGCGACGCGGAGGCAGAGGAGGCGGCGGCGGCGCCGGGCACAGAGCGGCGTCCGCTCTCCCTGTGTCCCCGGAGCGGCCCCCCCCTCCCCCGCCCCGGGAGGGAGGCGGGGGACCCCTCGGACCCGCCATGAATCCCGGCTTCGACCTGTCCCGCCGGAACCCGCAGGAAGACTTTGAGCTGATCCAGCGCATCGGCAGCGGCACCTACGGGGACGTGTACAAGGTAAACGCGGCGGTCGCCCCCTCCTCCCCTTCCTCCTGCAGCCCCTCCCCCGCCCAGCTCGGGGCGCTCCTTCCCTAGCCCCCCAACCTGGGGAGAAGAGGGGAGACGCAGGCCCCCAGAGGCACGTAGGAAACAAAGAACCGCCCCCACCCCCACCCCGACGGACACTCCACAGTCCGGGACGTGGCCCCTGTCCGACCCGGGCTCCTGCAGTTGGGGTTTTAGGGACACCCTTCCCCCGCCCTCCCCAGCCTGGATCCCCGAGGAAGAGCTGAACTTGGGGAGGGGGCGGGCCCTAGGCATATGCCAGCTGGCAGCGGGGTTTCCTGGACATTTGTTGCAGTGGTGGGTGTCTGTTGTTCAAGTCAACACTAGTTCGCCTTATGTCAAACCTGGGCCTTGGACAGACAGACGGACGGACGGACGGACGGACGGACCGACCGACGTGTGGTTATCATCCGTGGGAGGAGGAGGAGGCGGCGGCCTGGGAGCCTGCAGCCGACCGGGCCTGAGATAGTTACACTCTGAGAGCCTTTCATGGACCATAGTAACCACCCCCGCACACGGCACTCACTTGTGCCCCTTTGCTCCTTGGCACTCACGGTTTGTTTTCATTGTTTCTGGGCACGATTCTCTCATAATGCCTTTCTTATATGCATTAAAAGTGGGTTTATTTGGTGGATGGCTGACCTGAGAAAACAATAACTTCAATGTTTTCCGTAGGTGGAATCAGATTAATGGCATTACAAAACTTGCCTTTGTTAATGACCCAGGAATCAGGTTGGTTTTTTTTCCTCTCCCACTTTTTAAAAAAAATTGAACTGAGCACTTATCAAAAATACTGGTTTGACAAGGTTAGAACTCGGAGTCCATTGGTTATATAGCATTCCTGTTCTAGGGACCACTTCTAAGTGTGAGAGGATAAATCACCCTTCAGCCAGCCAGCTTAGCTCTTGGCCGCTACTTAGACTGCCAAGAAGGGAACAGAGAGAGTAGAGCCAAATGTGACAGCAGTTTTGATTTAGTTGTGTATCTCCTTACTGGTAACTAAAGCTGACCTCCTCTTATTTCATGTAACACCTAAGGAAACAATCAACAAAAACTTTAAGCTCAAGTTTCAGTTTGATTTCTTGTTCGTTCTGAGTTTATTAACACCTGATAAATGTTGGTTACATATATGTATTCACGCACATTCACTATCACTTTTATCATAAGTTCATTTGAGAGATTATGATGTCAGTGTGGCCAACACATATCAAGCCTAAAATGCTTTACTGTTTATAAATATCATATATGAAGTGTTTATAAAAGCATATAAATAAATAGGTAAAATTGAGGAAAATTAAAAAAAAAGGTGTGTGATTTTTCATTTGCCCTTGTTCCTTCCCAGTTTTAATTTATTCTTATTACTTTTTTCAGTGTTTAGTTATGTCAATTCTTGGTGAAAATGGAAATGTCTGTAAATATATAGTACTTATACTGGCAATAGTTGCCTTCCTGAAATGTACATAAATCAATCTTTCAAATATATTAGGATTTTTGAAAAAAATTATAAGACCTTTAGAGGTATCCTTTGGAAGTGCAAGTAATCACACCTTAAATTATTTGTTTTTCAAGTTTATATTTCTTAAGAGGGTTGGAAAAGAAAGGGGCTATACCTGTAATTGAAAATGGAAAGATGGTAAAGGAGAATCCTAGTTTGAATAGCAGTTACAGAAGCAAACTTTTATGGAGTGCTTATTGTGCAAAACACTGTACTGAGTCCTTTGAAAGATGTACAAAAACACAAATTAACAGCAGGAATTGTTGGGATTTACTAAAACCTTTTAAAATGATTTGTAATTTTATGTATTAACCATTTTATTTTAAAAACATATCAATACTATACCCAGGTACCAAAAAGTGCTTTAAACTTTAAAGTTGCTTAATGCTAGCATTTCCCTTCAAGATAGAAGTAAATAAAGTATGTTCAGTCTCGCTTTTGTATTGGGGAAACTAAGGCTTGTTTTGAGTATTGTTGACTTTCTTTGGCAACATGCTGAGTTAATGTGGAGCTTTAAATAGAAATGGAGATACCTGACTTCCTGTTGTACAGCTAGATCACACTTTCTGTTTTTGTACAGGCTTACCAAACAACTATCAGCTAATAGATTTTTTATTTGTTCCATCTAAGCTGAGCTTGAACCAGAAATCAAAAGGAAAGAAACCCCTAGCTGTGGACCTGGTGTCAAACCTTTGAATCATTCAGTTTACCTCCTGCCTGCTAAAATAGCCCAGAGGTTATACTATTTACATGTGCTTTTTTCACCTTCAAGTATGTTTTGTCACCTTCAAGCAAATGCCTCCTACTCATTCACAATTCTGTTGGTTAAGTCTCACTCTTTTAAGCCATTGATTAAAACAGTATCTTGCTCTGATTGAGGACAATCTTCTGAGAGGTTTATTTGAAAAAGCAACAACAACAAGAAGCATGTAAGTTAGTTTCTCCACATTTCCTGTCAGCATATGTAGATTAAACACACAAAAAGCCATAAACATAAGACATTTCAGTCAAGTCATAGAACTTTCATGAATAATATCCTGCATTACGGCTGGTTATGCTGAGCATTGTAGTAGCCCTTTTTAGCTTGGTGTTCCATAAAGAGCTCTTATTTTCTCACAAAGAAGCTATCTTTTTTTTCTTTATAAACCTTATGGAATAGTCTTAGATTTATGAAATTTTGGCTTATAACTGAACACCAGTAAATACATATTTAATTTGTAAGCTTCCTGTGATATATGCACACTTTGTAACAACTCTGACGTGTCACACTTAACCCTAGAGAGGAATGAGGAGAAAGCAGCTTTTGAGTTGAATAAAGCTCTGATGACTTCATTTTTGGCAAGTGTAAGGACAGAGAATCAGTGGGTTCATAAGCTATAAGGAACCCTAGAAGTTTAATCCAAACCTTCCCCTTCACTTTTTTTAAACATAGAAGGAAACTGAGATCCAAATAAATTGTGACTTCCCCAAGATTGTACAAGTAGTAGGTTTTAGAGCTGGAATTTGAACTCTGATTTTCTGATTCTCAGATTCACCACTCTTTCCACTGACCCATGCTACATTCTATAAATTGTTAGCATTGAAAGGAGCCCCTTAATCTGTCATTTTACATGTGAAGAAATTGAGACCCATAGAGATGCAGTTTATAGATCCTTGATAAGCAAAATGATAGATCAAGGTGTTGTTTCTTTATAGGAACTCTCTGATCTAGTCCACACTCAAGATTTCCCTGAGTACCATATTTATATGTATAATACAGGAGGGATACAAATGTAACACTATTTGGTTTTCAGTTATTTGTAAACATTTTATATTTATGCAATTAATCTGTTATTCTAAGTTAAAGTGGCATTGTTATACCTAGAGCTGGTTTTTTTTTTTTTTTTGCTTTTTTGGTGAGGCAAGGGGAGTTAAGAGACTTGCCTGCCCAGGGTCACACAGCTATTAAGAGTCAGGTGTCTGAGGCTGGATTTGAACTCAGGTCCTCCTGACTCTTAAGGCTGGAGCTCTATCAGACTGTGTGCCACCTAACTGCCCCTAAAGCTGTCATTCTTGCCTCTTCTATGTTCCTTTCTACTTCTGTACGACAAAAATGAACCAGATTACCCAGGCAGCATAGTGTGGAAAGTGTTTTAGAGTTAGTGTTGGAGAGACCCGAGTCAGAATTCCTCCTCAGACACTTACTAGCTCTACTACCCTGGGCAAGTCATTTAACCTTTGCCGTCTTGTTTCCTGATCTGTAAAATGGGCAATAATAATAGCACCCATGACACAGGTTTGATGTATGGATCAAATGAGATAAGATGACTAAAGTGCTTTGCAGACCTTAAAGTGCTTTATAAATGTCGGCTATTATCATTTTTCCTGAGGGTTGAAATGGAGAAAAATCAAGCATTTGTTTAAATATGTACAAGAGGTATAACATAGGATAAGATGTTGTTTTGTCTCCTCCAATGGCTTCTTCTTATTCGCTACATAACAATAGTAGTCATAGTAATATATTTGTATAGTTCTTCAAAGTTTACAAATCTCATTCCTAACAACCCAAAAGGGTGAAGTGATTGTTGGGGGGGGTCACATAATCTTAGCAAAAGCTAAGATTTGAACCCAGGGCTGTTTATTCAAAGTGTGTGACCATTTTATTTCTGTTCCTTGGTGATTTAATTTACTTTATATGATTTAGGATCATGGACTGAAGGGACCTAAGAGTTTTTAAGCATCCAACCCCCTCATTTTCCAGATGAGAAAATTTTGGTCTAGAGAGGTAAAGTAGCTTTTTCAAGGCTGCAGCAGGTAGCAAATAACCAAACCAGTGTTTGAACATAGATCCCCTGCCTCCAAAGCTTATGCTCTTCTCACTATAATATATTGCACTGTATCTTCAGAAGGGTGTTCTTGCCCTATCCACCAGGTTGACTTGTTCACACCTCAAACTCAGCATATCCAAAATGGAAGTCGTCATTCCAGTTCAAGATGTCACAGTAATTTTCAGAATAATCCAGTTTCCTTGTTTCCCTTGTCCCTGACATAAGTGATTTGGAACATTTTTACTAATACTGGTTAAGAAAAAATGTGGAAAAGTCAAGAAAACTGTAGGGGTAGCAATCATATATTTGTAACTTCAAAGTTGATTAGAGATCTGTAACACAGCTAATGTGCAAATTATATCAGAATCAAATGTTAATGTACTATGTGCTATCTCTCCTACCTTCTTTTTGAATTTCCTACTTTTGTTTATAGTACTGTCATTTTCCTAGTAACCCACACTGGAAACCCTGGGATCGTTTTAACTATCCTATTACACCACAAAATCCTGTTGATTTCCATTATCTTTCAAACTTATTCCTTCCCTTTCTCTTTAATAGTTGAGACCTTCCTACTTTCCTCAAAATATTGTAATAATTTCTGTAATGGTTTCACTGCTTCCAGTCTCTTTGCCCCTCCATTCCATCTGATA